AACTATATGATTAATTTGTAATGCTTTTAAATGTTCTTAAAAAGTCAAAGTACGGAGGGTAAAGTGTATGTAAAGGAATTAGTCTAAAGGTTACTCTTGTACTTTGGCCTATAGTAACCTTTGTATCAGCTTTCCAAGTATGCTGCTATTTGAAAAATGTTACTAACCCCCTCTAGTGACCAAAAGTTTGCCTTTTTTTTTTTTTTTTTTAAGTAAAAAGGAGTATTTTAATATCACAAAAGTGTGGTCTTATTACTGTGGTAATCAGAAGTAAACCTTGTTCTATGTGAGACATGTTCAGTAAGTGTTTCATTGAACCAAAATGGCATTTTATATTCATACAAAACATACGTTCAGGAATACTGCTTAAATTTGGGAAAGAAGAATTTTTTTGCAAAGCAGTTTGTATGTGGCAATTTTTAACAATCTGAAAATAGATATGTTGGAAGGGGAGAATATGCCCATAGTAACTGTACTTGAATTTCAAGTTATTAATTTTAGGCAGAATTTGGTGTTTTCAAAATACTGTATTGGTGATTAGAGGATGTAAATGAGTTTAATTTCTTTTTTTTATGGAAGAATGAGTGGGATCAAGAAAAAAGGTAGCTTGCCTTTAAAGTATTATCCTCAAAATCATAGGAGACATTTTGAAAGCATGTTACAGTTTTTAAAAATATTTAACAGTGTATCAGTTGTGACTATAAAGTAATTTCTTCTCATTTCCATCCTTATTTCCCTCATCCCACTCCACCCTCAGAAAGCAGATCTGATAGGCCCGGCCCCGTGGCGCACTCGGGAGAGTGCGGCGCTGGGAGTGCAGCGACGCTCCCGCCGCGGGTTCGGACCCTATATAGGAATGGCCGGTGCGCTCACTGACTGAGCATGGTGTGGGTGACACCAAGCCAAGGGTTGCGATTCCCTTACCGGTCATGAAAAAGACAAAAAAAAAAAAGAAAGCAGATCTGATAAATTCAAAATGGGTATAGCTGCTTTCAAAGTGGACAACTTGGGAAGCTAAGATAGATGTGTCAGCAGCATTGCCACTTTTCAGAATAGTTTGATAACTTAGCTTTTAGAATAATATTTGGTCCCTATGACATGGTTTTTTTTAATATTGATACCTTTGATGATAGATCTGATTTTTGAGATAAATTTGAATCTAATTTAGAGCTGTGTCAAGTGAAGAAGAGGAGCAAACAATTTAAGCTATTCCTTTAAAGTAATGAGACTGTTCTTTAATTTTTATTCTGCAACTACCAAAAATGATTTGAGATATTTCCATTTTGTGTCACAAAATTACTCTAAATGTTGTGATGATAGAACTATCAGAAATTTTATGCAATGGCAGCATCACTAGCACAATTATAACCATTTTCAGAATGATTAATTTTTAAACAATGAAGATTCATTTGTTTGTATGTGTATTTGTTAAAAACTCAAATTATTTATATGTATAGTTATTGCAGTTACTGATGTAGAGTGATGAATATTACTTAAATGAATAACAATGGAATTGGGATTCATGAATATACTATGTTTTCTTTTTCCTTGGAATGATTTCTATAATTTATAATGGAATTTATTCAAGTGAAGCTTTATGATTGCACTATACCATCAGCCTCCACATTCATTTATTATCTGTTACTTAAAATATGCTGCATCAATGTTGCTGTAATGGAGTCTTTTTTATCATATCTTTCTTGTAAGATGATACTACCTGTTTTGAAATAGTGGAAATGGAGGAAATAGTGATGAAACCTGTAGTAAAGCTTTTAATGTTTATATTTTGTTTCAAGATCTTAAAAAAGAATCAGGTTTTGACTTGTTCTGTTTAAAACTCAGTGATATGAGTGAGTGTATGTAAGTAAATGAAGAGGGTAGATTTATTTGGATGTAAATTTCAAATTGTTGGGTTTTGAATATTTTTCATATAAATGTCCAAATCTGGTTTGTTAATATTATAGAATTTGGATTGTAAATTGTAGGGATGGTATTACATTTGAACGGGCAATTCATAATAATTTCTGTTTAGAAATTGATCACACACAGGTGTCTGAGCTAAGTAACTTCCGAAATTATATTTTTTGTCTACAACACAGAGATTCTTCCTATTTTTAATTGCAGTCCTCTTTATTTAAATCTAATGAAAAACTTTATCAAACCAGTACAATTAAAATGTAGAAATGCTACACTTACAAAGTTAGCATTTTTGTCAAAAAAGAGAGAAAGAAGAAACTGAGCCATTTTGTTAAAGCACTTAGCATAATACCTTTTCAGTAAGTCTCGGCATTAGATAAGTCATGTTTTTTGTGACCTATATGTTTGCTTTAATTAGAATTCCCTTTTGGTATGATTGTCAAAGATTGAAACAAGCTTACCTTTTTTCTTTATCTGGCCGATCTGGTCTGATATTTATGAACAGCCTCCCTGGAGCATATCCCTATTTTGCGATGCCTCAATTCTTCCATGATAGAGTTTGCTCCCATAAATCTTTCTGGGATGCAGAAGGGGCCATAGATCCCCTGGAGATCTGCCAGAGCCTGTGCACTAGGCAGGACAGGAGAAGGAGCAGAGGTGGGCCATTAGGAGCTGGCACCTGGGACAGGAGGAAGGAGAAGGTCGAGGGCGCCCGCATCTTTCTCTGGCAGAGATGCCTGTGCACTTTGGCACGTCCCTTCTCTTGGTAGTAAAGCCCTATTATGTTCCATTTCTCTGTACCTCTCTTCCTTTCCTTTTGCCAGTCCCGTGAAATATTATTCTTTCATGGACTAAGAACCTGGTTCTGCACCAGGTAACAATTCCATATTGAAGAGATAATAGAACACAAAGGAAGATTTTTGGAATGTTGCCTTAGTTCTTTAGGTTTAGATAGGATTAGGTCCTTTGCAACCTAAAATGAACTTAAGGTTAATGAATTTAGTTATTTGGTTTTTAAATCTAACCTCAGTCAATCAGAGGTCTTTTCCTTTTCTTCTTGGTTTTGATCATAATCTTTGCCTCTTGTAGTTTTTTGGGGTTTTTTGTTTGTTTGTTTGTTTTTTTGGCAGCTTGCTGGTATGGGGATCAGAAACTTTGACGCTGGTATTATAACACTGCATTCTAACCAACTTTGCTAACTGGCCAGCCCCTCCTCTCTTCTTTTTAAATTTCCTGTCTAACTTTTTATAAAAATCCTAGCTTGTTCTTTTGATTTGGTACTATTCCAGAAGCTCTGAGTTCCTGGAATATTAAACTGAAGATAAATGAAGTGATACTGAACTAGAAAAGAGTTTTAAACTAGTGTTAATATCATTTATATCAAAACGAGAACATAAAAATTGTATTTACTAGTTAAATCAGTATAAAAGCTAAGTGTTTTTATACCTAAAAGAATATTTTCCAATTAGAATTATGTCATAGGTAAACCAACAGCTATATAGGAAAAGTAATAGATTTTTAGGAGTTGGAGCACTCCTGAATATAAAATGTCAATGGAAATATTTTCTATAATACATTGTATGTAATTTTAATGTTTCCTAATATTAATTTTGAAAATCAAGTAACCTAAAATAATTTCTAATTGTTGCTACAGTTTGGTACCAAAGGAATTATATTTTACCTCTTAAGTTTAGTGACTCATTAAAAGTATGCACAATATAGCTTTTTGTTCCTTTGTTTTTAGTACTGATGTCTAAGTATTAAAGAAATTTAATGTTTGAGAAGCTAGGGTTTCCCCCATTCAAATGAAGGAAAGCTGTTAAGTATAAATACCTACCTAAAACCATAATAGACGTGATATGATACCATTAGATGATGTAATACAGATGCCTGATTTTTTCACAGAAGCGTATTGATTCACTGTTCTTTTAAAAAGTACAGTACAACATAATCAGAGATCCAAAATACTTTGTTTCAGGTACTGGGAAGTTACTTTTTTCAGATATCCAATTATTTTGTATTATTAGTATTGCATTTGTATTAGGGAGGGTGTAATTTAAAATTGATGTTCTGAAGAGTACCAGTCCCATCAATATGAGATAAAAGTAGTAGGGTAGTTCAAAAAGCTCATGGAAAAATGGTACTAAAAGGTAATATGAATCCTTCCTTTAACTTTTTGAAGAGCCCTGGTATTATCACAGTGTTGAGACTAACTATACCCCAACATCCAATAGGTCAACTGTCTTTCACAACTTGATGACTTAACAGACTGGCAAAACTGGGAACTTTCTTTGTGCCATGAACTGTCAAGGTAGCTGCAAAAATGAAAAAGTTACAATCTGCTTCCAGAAAGATCCAGGTTCAATAGTAATTACAAAATGTAAAGTATTATATTTGAGTGGTAAAAGCTGTAATTACGATGTGTTAAGAATGGTCGCAAATATATGCACAAACTGCCTGTATAGTTGGAAAAGTTTCATTGAGGCAATAATATTTGAGCTGTGTCAGGATAAGTGATTTATCTATGAAGAAATAATACTGAAAGTTTTTGTATTATTATTTTTTTTGGCCTTGTCCTGTCCATTTTTTCAAAAATGTGGTAAAATATACATAACATAAAGTTTACCATTTTTATCATTTTTAAGTGTACAGTTCTTTGGCATTAAGTACATTCACACTGTTGTTTAGCCATTACCACCATCCATCACCAGAACTTTTTCATCTTCCCTAGCTGAAACTCTGTACCCATTAAATACTAACTCCTCATTCTTCCTCCTCCAACACCTGGAAACCACTATTCTACTTTGTGTTGCTATGAATTTAACTACTTTCAGTAGTTTTCCTATAGTTAAAAACTCTTTTAGCCCACTAGCCCAGCATGTAGTAGGTATTAAATAAATTTCTGTATTAAATGGCAATTAGTAATTGAAAGGCATTGCTCATGCCAGTGGATTAACTATATTTCTTGTATGAACTCATACTACTAATTATTGTTATAATAACTTTGTTAATTCATAGGGAATCTTTTGTTTTCTCGTGTTTTTTATTTAAATTATTTTTCATGTTGTTTATTTTCTTTTTAGACTGAATCTGGATATGGATCTGAATCCAGCTTGCGTCGGCATGGCTCAATGGTGTCACTGGTGTCTGGAGCAAGTGGCTATTCTGCAACATCCACCTCTTCATTCAAGGTTTGTGATTATAATGCTTTTCATTAAGGCAATATAAATTGAGTTTACTGTTAGATGTTGTGATCAAAACTTATTTGATAGTTTTTTGAACTTTTCTACAGTGTAACTTATTTGAGATTGTTATAGAATAACTTTTTAAGGGCTAAAATTATGGCTCATACAAATATAAAATGAACACATGTTAAAGATTCTATTTCATTCATTTATTAATGAGGTAAGATATAAACTTAAAAGTTGGTTTAATGGAGAATCTGAAGAATACTGAAATGAATTTGCTAATATATGCAAAACTAGTCAGTATCCACAAATTAATAATCAATGCCTCTGCAAAGTTCATTTACATCTTTATGAAAAAGACTCATTTGTATTACTCCATTTTCTACTAAAAGAGTTGTAAAATAGCTCGAATATAAGGAAAGGCAAAAACTTCTATCTGGTCAGGTAACACCCTCCCCAGAAGGTCCCATAGACGATACTCACTGCTTTGAAAGGACACCCAGTAATATTTTTAACCATTTCAAAGTCTTACAATTTTCCCTCACAATGTCTAATCTGAAAATATTAAATGTTATATTAGCAAATTGTCAGGCATTATTTCTTTTTCACTTCCTACAGGGTTATCACTGTCAAGACACTAGATTACTCATTTTCAAGCCTATTCCTAGGAGTATTACATTGAACTAGACAGCTCTTCTTATCCCATGCGCTCAGTGATAAATTGCAGAACTTAAAAGATGATGGAATAGCATAAGATCAAAAGTCTAGTTTTGTTTCACTTGAATTACATCCTCCCTTTTTGTGTTTTGCAGAAAGGCCACAGTTTACGTGAGAAATTGGCTGAAATGGAAACCTTTAGAGACATTCTATGTAGACAAGTTGATACTCTACAGAAATACTTTGATGCCTGTGCTGATGCTGTCTCCAAGGATGAACTTCAAAGGGATAAAGGTTAATTAGGCTATTACCACTATTTTTACTTTGAGAATGAATGGATTTAAAGCCTCTTGATCTTAAAGGGTAATGTCTTTAAGTGATAAGGGTAATTATAGTCACTTCTGCTGCAAACTCCCAATGTAACAGATTTCAGTGTCCATGTGACTTAGGTATTTGAATAACACATACTAATTCATTTCTGATCATCCATACCAGATGCCATTGAAGACTTTTAAATGATGCTCTTTATTCCATTTTTAAAGGCGTCTGTTATCTTGTTAATATGGAGTATTTCACATTGTTATGTCTAATAAATTTACCCCATGATCAACCTTAGAGGACACAAACATCTGGAATCAATCAGTTGATCTCTTTCTCCCTCTCCTTCTTTCTCCCTCTTGTCCCTTTTTCTCTTCATCTCCTTTTTTTCTCTTTATCCTTCCCTTTTTCAGTCGTAGTTCCCTCCCTCCCTTTGCCCTTTTTCTCATAGAAGAAATCAATAATGGAGCTATATATACATTTAAAAATGATTTCTAGTGAATTTTTATTTAAAAGAAAGAAGATATGATCTTCAATTAACTTTTAATGTAAAGTTTAAAGTTACTTTTCCTTTGTTAGTACTGCAAATACTGCTGACTTCAGTATCTGTTCTTCAATTATTGTCTTAGTTTACTGTAAAGGCAATAATGAACTATGTTAGCAGTATTATTAAATGGTATTAAGGTCATTCCCAGTATTAACTAGATTGCTTGGCATGATTTCATTTCTTGGTCTTATTAGATGGGTTTGATCTGAGTTCAAATTCTTTTTGTCTTCCCTGTTCTTCATTTCCTTCTTTTGGATTACATGCTTTTTTATAATTTCGATTTATCTCTTTTATTGACTTCGTAGCTCTAACTCTTTGTTTTGTTATTTCCATGGCTACTTTTAGATTTACAGTTTGTGTATTTAATTTATCAGTTTACAGTCTAGTAATAATATATCATTTCATGTACAGTATCAGAACCTTCTAATAATGTATTTTGATCTCTCCCCACTGCTGAGGCAAGACTCCTCTGAGTTCTCCAACCAATTCCTTGTGAATTCTGAGGTTTTCTGGTCTGCATTGTGGGAACAGCTACTTTTTCCTGCCCCTGTGTAAGCTTTGGATACTGTTCCCTAGAATCCTTTTGGAAGGTTCTTTCCCTGACGTCTGTAATTCCTTTACCTGCCTGTGCTATCAGTACTCAGCTGAATATCAAGGGGAACCTTCTGCCAATCTCCAGCATTGTCTCTCTGTAGAACTCTCTCCTCTTCAGTATTTTGCCTGTGAACTCTAGTTGCCTTTTTCGTCTTTGGACTCTGTGTTTCTTCTCCTCATCTCAGAGATTCTACCAGGCACTTCCTGGGTTTTCACTCCTTACCGTACAGCTTGGAAACTCCCAAGGCAGCCCGGTGGAGCAGTCAAAGAGCTAACCTCATTTGTTTCCTGACTCTCAGGGCTCATTGTCCTTTGTTGCCTGATACCCAGCGTCTGGAAAATCATTATTTCATGTATTTGTTCATTTTTTTAGTTTCATGCTAGAGGGTTAATTATTCCATTCTTGTTATTCCATCTTGACCAGAAGCACAAATTCATATTCTTCTTAAGTACTTAATTTTACCTAAATTAAGTAGTCTTGAAGTTCTTTATATGTAGTACACTTTAAGTTTTTGGTTCTCTAACATTTGATTATTTTTCTCTAAAAGTAAAGGCAGTCAGACTTCTATTTCCCATTTATTTTTTTAAAAAGTATACCTTTTTGTCAAACATTGCACATTACTTTTTTTTTTTTTTTTTTTTTTTTTTTTTAAAAAAGCCCTTTAAAAAAAAA